CAGCCAGCAGGATCGGGCAGAGGAGGAAGCCGCCCGCCCCACAGGACCCTTGACACTTGGCCACTGAGCCAGGCTAGAGGCTGGGAGAGAGGACAAGACTTGAGCACACCAGGAACACAAGAAGACCCAAGTGCCACGGAACACAGGGGACCAGAAGCTCTGAGTGCCCTGGTGAGGCTGCAAGCTGGAGCCACTGATGGACCAGTGCCCCAGATCTGCGTGGACTGAGGCAGCGTGACCCCCTCTGCTTCAGCTCCCTGCTGCCCGAAATGCCGTGGAAACCTGGCATCTCCCCACTGCACCGGGCCAGCTCTGGACTCAGCTCTACTCCTTCCTGGCTATTGCATTCCCCTCCAATTAAGCAACAGCGTCCCCAGCACTGGGTTGCATTAAATAATTAAATTGTGCTGGTGATTTATCCGACAGCACCAGCAGCTCATTACGAGCAGCTACCATATTTCAAACCCCTCTCAGTGAGCACTCAGTGCTGCCTGGATAAATGGCTGGCAAGGACTGGCTCCTTCCCCCTCCCCAGATCTGCCTGCAGGCCTTGGGGAGCTCGAGAGTCCAACCTCCCTTTCCCCACTCGCTTGCTTTAAAGGGATTAAAAAGGCCAGCCCCACGGAACACGGGAGAGCAGGACCCAGCTGCTGGCTCAGCCACACCAATAAATAATTAAAGAGATACGGCTCATTTTGGGCTCAAGGCCCTTTGAAAAGGGGGTTACTAAAAGAAGCAGCTTCCCATTGTCCAGCAGAGGAAACTTGTGCATCCAGGGCTGACCCCTGCAGGGGAGAAGGAGGGGGAGAGCAGAGCTTACGGGAACACAACCATCAGCACCGCTGCAGCCTTGTTTTGCCTGGCTGGGTTTTTAAGCTCTATTTTTGCTTTACCTTTCCAGTGATCAAAGCAAGGGCAGCCTCCCCCTGCTCTCCTTGCTCTTCTCATTGTGCTGATTTTGCATCCCCTTGACCCTGAGTCTGCCATCGGTCCCAAAGGCAAACCGCAGAGTCTCCTATGGAGCTGAGACCTGTCAGCATCTCTCAAGAGCAGGGGCCAAGCAGACAAAGGTGCTGAGAAGGCATCACGGCAGCCAAAGCTGCCTGCGGGGACCAAGCCTGCCCCTGTGGGCTCCTCAGACCCCGTCAGAGGGGGGAGCTGCTAAAATTGGGGCATTTGGTGATTCCTCCACTTCCCTCCTGGAAGGAGCGCAAGCCACAAGGCCAGCCAGTTTCCCCCAGTGCAGCTGGTACAGTCTGAAGGGAAGGTCTGCTCCTCGCATGGCCAAAGCGAACCGCCTCCTTGCTGCACGGCTCCTCCGATCAAAGTCACAGCTTTGAAAAACTGCTCCAGGCTGCAGCCCCAGCTCTCGCTGCACAGACCCCCACGTGAAAAGCACTCCCAGGTAACAGCCTATCAGTCATAGAACCTTGCTGCAGACAGAACGTCTACACCCGAGTCCTAAACAACAGCTCAGCTATCACTACTCGTCAGATGCCTCCAGCAAAGCCCCAGACAGCTCCACGCAATTTCTCAGTAAGAGCAGAGCAAGCTCAGCAAGTCTCAGAAGGGGCTCAGCCCCCAAAGGATCCAGCTCTTGCTCCAGCAGGTAGTTTGGTATCGACACACGCTACTCTGGAAACCATTAAGCTGTCTCTTCCGAAGCAGAGCAGACCATACTTGCTTTTTTTTTTTTTCCACAGCAAAGCAATACCAGTAAGTCGTGTAGAGGATATGTGTTCAGCAGAAAGGATTCCAGGAGGTCATTTGCCAAAGGAAGGTGTCCCCAGAATTTGATTGGGGAGGAAGATGGGACGGCACAAAAGCACATCAGCAGCAGGTACGGCAGAAGAGAAGAAAGGCAAGCAGGGATGCAAGCCGAGGCCGCGAGGGGCCGAGCCGTTAAAAGCACAGATAAGCAGTTTGATCTACAAACGAAGCCGCGCGAACAGGCAACCTCATCAACAAGGCGACCCTGGGGATGCTCCACCTGTGCTTCAAGTCACAGGCTTCTGCTCTCCTCGGCGCAAGGGGAATGAGACATGTTCCCTGGCACTTCCCAAGACACAAGGATTGTGTCTTGTTTGTCACCTAGACTGGGACTGTGGATGGGAAACGTTCACTCCAAGAGGGATCTGCTGTATGGACACAGCCCTGATACAGCTTTTCCTACATAGCTGACAGCTCAAAGGGCTGGCAGAAGAGGGGGGGAGTTTTCCCCCGCTTTGTTTTGCTCATTTTTAATGCTTTGTTTCCCTAGAACTGCTCTGTGAATGGTTGGGAATGAGCGAGATCATGACAAAGACAAAACTCAAAGGTGAAAGGCAAACAGTGGAAAGCAAGAGCAGCATTTGACAGCAGTTTCTACTGAATTGAAGGAACAAAAGGTGGACGCAAAGCCTGCTACTCATTATCCCTGATCCCCCCCATGAACTACAAGCAAGTTTCTCATTCACCCACTGGCTCCTAGAAGGGAAGGCTGGACTTAACACGCCTGCTTCAAACATAAATTACTAGGTCAAAGATCATCGTAGGCTGCCTTCTCACACTGGAATGAAGCTATAAACACACAGGGCTCAGTCTGCTTCCCATTCTGCCTAGATCTTTTTACACAATTCCCAGCTTTCTTGCACAGCCGTGTAGGTCTGAACAGTAAAAACGCACCCAAAAATCTCCCTATTGCAACGCAGACCAAGGGAGGGGAATCCAGCGTGCCACACGGAAGCGAAGCTGGTGACTAACATACGCTCTGCAGGTCACGGCAGCACCCAGAGAGACCTCAGGCCAGTGCTGAGCATGGCTGAGGCCAGCAGTAACACCAGTGAGTATGTCTGCTCTTCCCCTCCACACGATCTCACCATGCCCTGGTAAGTGCCAGGCATTAAAACCGCCCACGGCAGCAGACAGAGCCAGGCGACAGTCACATCAGCGCATGGGAAAATATAGGTCCTTTCTGCTTAACACCTCAGAAGGGACAATCCTGCCCCACAGGCTAAAAATACCCACCCCAGCCCAGCCCTCCTGCGTGCTCCGCAGCCCCCCACAGCCCTCAGCACAGCCCTCGGCGAGGCAGGTCCACGCAGTGACATGCCTTGAGCTGACATGCTGTCAAACCAGAGCTCGCACGGCTCAGCTACAGCGTGGGTGGGGGAGATGGGCGCTGTTAACACACGGCAGTGAGGAAGCCCAGGGACAGCGAGACAAGTGACTTGCCCAAGGCTCCCCCCAGAAAGGCAATGGGAGAGCAGGAACTGTACAGACATCTCAGTCAGGATGTCTGCAACCAGGAGGGAATACCACATCTTCAAAACATCACTGGTTGAAGTCAGATTGCGAAAACAGGATGAAAACATATCCTTTCTGAATCCTCCTTTTCACCACCAGCTTCTGTCTGTTCGTAACTTGCTTGATTTCCCATCCAGTGAGCAGACACAGAGCCTCTGCATCCTAGGGGGAGGATTGCAGGCTGACATTTGCAACCCCAAGCATAACCCAACCGCATTTATTCTCCCTGGCTCCCAGATAAGCTGCCAACTCTTTCCTCACCTAGGAAATACTGTAGAGCCAAAAAAAACCCCACAAACAAACAACAAAAAAAGGCAGAAAAGGAGAAACAAGGGAATCCAAACGCTTCTCCTACCTCTGAAACTTTGTATTCGCAGGTCAGCTTCTTGCCCCTGACACCTTCGTTCAGAGTGAGGATGAAGCCCATGTAATCCGCGTATGCCTGCAAACACACCCGAGAGAGCAGGGCGTTAGTGATACCCACGGTCTGTTTGAACAAGCAACGCGGCATGGAAGCACTCCTGCACATCAAGGGGACCTTTCCCGACACACAATGCTGCTCTCCTGGAGACACACAGGGTGCACGGCTTGCTGTGAAGTCACTGCTATTTCTGGCAAACCTCAGAGGCAGCTGGTGATTGCACTAAGAACTCTGCATCGCTGTAAAAATTACAGTGGGAGAATCCTGAAAATTCTCATGCTGCCCCCAAAATCATTCCCTCAGCTCCCTGCCTCCTATCAGGTCAAATTCAAACTCCTCGGCTCTGCAGTCTCAGTTGTGCTTAGACATCCTGCTCTGCACTGCTTCTCCCAGACCTGGGCCATTATCCCCTTTCCTCCTTCTGCTCCTCTCCCATGCTCAGCCATGATGGAGAAGCAAGAGACAGCCCAGCCTCCTCATGACTGTTCTCTTTAAATTCGCTGCTTTTGAAGCACCATATCCAGTGCAGCTCCACAGCTCTAAATCTTTGAAAACACCAGACCAGCACACTGCCACCTCTCCCTCCTTGGGCCCCTCTTGCACAGAAATCCTGACCAGGAGCAAGTCCTTAAACCCAGGAGACTTAACAATGGAAGCTGCGCTCAGAAGTTTGCTTGATACCTGGCTACAACTTAAGCTTAAGACATCACAGATCAGTCATCAAGAGAGAACTTGCTCCTAAGAGGTGGGACAAGTCTGGGCTAATACATCAATCCCTCAAAGGCAGAGAGGGGAGAACCTGCCTGTTCCACCAGCTCCACACATGCTGTAAACAAAAATTATCCAGGAAATTGAAGGCCTTGGCTCTAGAGCTCTTTCCAGCACAGCAAGGTGCGAAGAGCCCAGGAACCAACCCAGCCGGATGCTATTAGAGGGCCAAGCAGCAGGACCGGGTTCAAGTAAAGTTCAAACAGTGCTGGGTAAATCCAGTTTTGACGTCATGTACAGGCTAAGTAGGATGAAATAGTTACCAGCTTCTTGTCTAGCTTGTTAAGAGGGAGTAGTAACAATTTTTAAGTATCTCTGGTCTCCCTCAACCTCTGGGCTCTCCCTGGTTCACTCCTTTGTTCGAGCATTTGGCTGCCAGACTCCACATCCCACTGCCAAGTCATGTTCCTAAAAACACGCAAGGACTCCTCTGCTTTCAAACACAATTCATTTCCCATTACTCGCCCAAACCTGCTTTACCTCGTGGCTGTTCCCAGACCAGACCTGGCTGCCACCAAAGCATAATAAGCACTTACCAGTTTTCCCTGACCCCAGAGCCATACCTGAGAGCGCTTCCACTTGGCCATGTCGGAAACCATGTTTATCTCTTTTTTGGGGATCATGAAGCTCTGCTGGAGTGGAGGAGTCACCTCCTCAGAGGTGCCTGGGAGATGCAAAAAAAAAGTAAAATAGAAGCAGTGGAGAAGAAGAAATCCTCTATCCTCCTTTTTAGAAATCAAATTCATTTCTCAGGAGACTGAAAGCAAACAAATCCATCTCTGCTATTATCTCACCAAGTCCTCCTCCTCATCACACAATATCCTCTCCATCCCCAGACAACATACTCCCAGGGATGCTACAAGGCTTCAGAAAGCGGCATTATGTTTGTTTTTACTACTAAAGATGCATTTCCCATGCAGAGAGGCTGGTGCAGGAACTCACAAAGACAACATCCAGCTAGTTTGTTTCTGTCTAGCCTCAGGTTGTGCTGAAGCACTGAGCTCTCCTAACAAACCAACTGTGCCTTGCTTTTAGGGTGTTAAGCCCAAGTTGCATTCTTCTAAAGAGGACAACTGCAAAGACAAAGCTGGAGCAATTCAATAGATGGCAGTCCAGAGCTGCAGCCCCTGGTCCAGGCAGCACAGGGGCTTGGAGGATGCGGGGACACAGCCTCTTCCAGGTGGAAGCTATGAGGATCGTTTACTTTTAAAGCTCTCTCAGAGCCCAGGATGTAATATTTAATGCAAATGCAAGTTGTTAATGCATTAGAGGGGCTCCTTCCCCAGGCACTCGAACCAAGGACCCAACCCTGTGATAAGGGTCACCCCTTCCCCACGTTCTCCAGAGCTCTGCTCTCAGCCAGCAGTCCTGCACCAGGACACTGCGGAACCAGAAACGCTCCATAAGGTTAGAGGTAATTTGCATTATGCTCCTATAAGCACGAATTTTAACAGCACAAGGCAGTGCAGCACACCACTGCTAAGGAAACCGGGTGCTAACGCGAATTTGTGAATTCTGTTAGAGTCACCCAGTTCATCTTTTTAACCCCAGAAAATCTGAAGGCATTTGTTCAGCAGCAGTCACCCTGGCAACACTTCAGCGACTGCTCTCCACGGCAGGCTCAGGCACTGGCTCCCTGACACACACCAACAAACTCCAACTCCTTAAAATATTATTAGCTGTATTTACACAGGAAATACTGCCCAGAAACATCAGCAGCCTTTTCTGCAGCAGAGCAGATCAAATCCAAAGCCCCAGGAACCACCAAGTCCGCTACAGACTTGTCACCTAAACTCATTTAACTCCTCCTTTCAGGCTCCCCATTACAGAATGAATGCAGCCTCAGCACCTGCCTAGGCGGTTACGGTGTCTCGTTCCTTCCTCTGCACAAGCTACGGCAAAACTCCCAGGTACAAGGATGAGAGGAACAACGCACAAGGAATTTAAATAAAGGACACGGGAGCCTCTCCTCTGAAAATTCAGCACGCAACTCGCAATGAGCAGCATCCTAACGATGGAGCTCTTATTTTAAAATAACTTTAAAAATGAAAGCAATGAAAAACTCCAGAGCAGTGGTGCACAAAGGCAAACACTGACTTGTTGTTAACACAGATCACTCGTAAAGGCCGGAGATGCAGCCGGGGCGGCGTCCCGGACCAAGGGGATCCAGGTGTTCCCCCAACCTCTGTCTCATCACAGAACTTGTTCCGTTTCTGCATTTTCAACCACCATCATCGTTTCTTCAGACGTGCATTTGTGCGTTTGCTCTTGGGGAGGAGCCGACGGATACTCCAGGAAGGAAACACCACGAGGGCTGCAGGGTTACAACATTATAACACAGATACCGAAGGAAAAGTCCAAAGCCGATGCTGCCATGGAGAATGGAGCCAGGAGCCGAAGGGGTTCGTTTTACGACGAGAAGCAGTTGGACAAAGGGGACACTTTCACTCTCGTGGTGTGGGGAGGGGGGGATCATGCCCAGTCGCGAGGCAGGTTTTTCCGCACCACCCACCTCAGCAACGGGAAACGGAGTCACGGAAAATGGGGTACGGACTCGGGGA